CTCCAGAATGCAAGTAGTTTGGGGCTCCATCAAACAAACACAGGGAAAGGTTTTTATGAAGTAAATACAGAGCAAGGCAATATTTGACTGGCTAAAATGGAACAGTAGCCTTATTTATTTTATTCCAGTTGAAAGCCTTTAGAAGTTAGTTGGTGGTTTAAGTTTATGTTTTCATTTTACTCAAATATGACAATTTACAGAGTTCAATGAGGTTTGTATAAGTGGAAATTCATAGTACTAGAGCCTTCTCAGACAATGGATTCACAATGATTTTCACACAGAAAATGCTTTTTGTAGAGCAAGTAGCATTTCCTTCTTTAATTTCACAACCATGAAAATCATATTGGCTGTGGCCTACCTTTAAAAACTATACCAAAAAAAAAAAAAGTTAGCTTTTCACAAAAAATATTTCAATGTCATTTATCCTAATCTCACCTTTCTATTCCAAACTTCATATTTTCATGACCCTGTTATCTTTCTTTTCTTCCTGTGGTACTAGGAATTGAACCCTGAGGTGCTCTACCATTGAGGTACATCTCCAGGCCCACTTTTTAAAAAGTTTTCATTTCGAGACAGAGTTTCTATAAATTGCCAAGGCTGGCCATGAACTTGTGATCTTCCTACCCCAGCCTCTAGAGTAGCTGGGGTTACATGCAAGCACCATGGCATACAGTTTATTCTGCATGCTATTACATATGTTTATAAGCTACCTCAAATACTTTTGGAATAAAATAGGATATAAACTTAAAACTATAATCAACAGAGAAAAATGGATAATAGGAATAGTCAGGATAATAGTAGCACAGTCAGCTTAGGAGGCTGAGTCAAGAGAATTTCAAGTTCAAGTTCAGCCCAGGCAATCTAGCGAGACCCTGTCTGGAAAAAAATAAAACAAGGTAAAGATGTAGCTTAGCAGTAAAGAGCCCATGGATTCATTCTCTAGTACTGCAAAAACTAGTACATGCTTTTTACCTTCAACAGTTTGTAATCAAATTTTTTTAAAAAAGCTTCAAGCTGAAGAACATTAGAGAATAAGACAGTAAAAAGTGATGACAAATTATATAATCATCATATAAAGACTGTGTATGGATTAAAACAATAATTTAAAATAGCATATATTAAGCCTTTATCAAGAACTGTGGTAACTCCAATCCTCATAGCACTTAGGTAAATTGTTATGTTTTGCTCTGTTTGAGGGGAAAGGGGGGTATCAGAAATTGAAACCAGGAGCACTCACCCCTGAGCCACATCCCCAGTTCTTTTTTAATTTGTTTGTTTGTTTGTTTTTGACAGGGTTTTGCTAAATTCCTGATGAACTTGATAAGTTGCTGAGGCTGGCCTCAAACTTTCAATTCTCCTGCCTCCTTAGCCACAGGTATTGCAGGCATGTGCCACTGCACCTGGCCTAATATTTTTGTTTTCTTATTTGTACTACTGGGGTCAAACCCAGGACCTCTTATATGTCTGGGAAGCACTTTAACAGTGAGCCACACTCCCAGCCCCAAGATAATAGCTATTAAGGGTGGCCTAGGGTAGTATGTACCCAGAATCATGCCCTAGAAGACTTAGATTTCAGCTAATCCCTGACTTATAAGAGGCAATCAAAGGAAAGCAGTAAGGTAGAAATAGGAGTGGGGGTGGCAGTGAACATAGGAACAGGTTAAAATGACATTAAGTAAGCAAGTAAAGAGACTAACTAGAGAGAAGATTGAGGATTACAGGAAAATCTGGGAGGCAGGGAACAAGCAGTTTATAAATGGCCTTAAAACTCAAAAGAGATTCCATTTAAAACAGTGAACAATAAGAAACCATTGTAGGTTATTGAGCTCAGAAAGGATATTAAAAAGGTTTTCTTGGAAAGATATTACATGACAGTGATATAAAATAATCCTAACTTCAAAGCTAAATTCATATTAGTAATTACTCTTCTTGGATCCTATAACTAATGCAATCAGACACTTCAAGGCCTGGGATGCCAGGAACATTAGAGAAGCCTCTGCTGCTGCCTATTTCTAGCAACTTCTCTGCAAGCAGGATACCTTCAGGTAGTTTATTTTCCATTCCCCTACTTTCCAGTTGTTTTATACCCAGCCTGCTTGACCCTAATACATTTGTTTTCAACAGATGATCTCTATATCTCTTCTTATATGGTTCCTGATTATATTTATGATTCAAATACAACCTCTAAGGTCCTAAACATATCTGGAGGCTTCAAAGATATTGATAATAAAAGCAACCCTAATCCAAAGCAATCTACTTATATAAGTTTCATCCTACTTGTTTTTCCTAAAATGGTGCTTTCTCAGAAACTTACTAAGCATTAGGAACTGCTATCAAGATACAATTTCACAAAACATTATGCCTAGATACGTGAGGTGGTCCATGCCTGTAATCCTAGCAAACCAGGAGACTGAGGCAGGAAGATCTCAAGTTGCACAGCCTGGGCAGTTTAGTGAGACACTGTCTCAAAATAAAAATAAAAAATAAAAAATAAAACATCTGGGGGTGTAGCTCAGTGGTAGAGCACCCTTGGGTTAAATCCGAGCCCCCCCCCCCCGCCCAATACACACACACACACACACAATGGTGTGTGTGTCCTCCCGAGCCTAATTCAATTGTCCCATCATGCAGCAAGATCTGTTAAGATTATGGTAAATAAAACAGAAGATGGTAGTTGGGAAATAATCTTGTAACATTTCCATATCCAAATGAATCCAGTTCAGAACTATTTCTACTAGTTTCCTCAATTAAAATACAAATTAACAATTTTAAACTGTGTACTTTGCAGACTTTAAATTTCTCAGTACTCAAGTTTCAATTTGGAAGCAAGGAGGGAGTGATTCTTCTACCTAGAACTCCATGATAGATTTGAGTAGTGCATAGGGCCTATGTTCTCCAGCCCTGAATAGCATAAATTTAAACCTTTGCCACTAAAAACTGGAGGCTGTTGTCAAACTATAATAGTTATAAACATGACTCAGACCAAGTGTGTCTTTAGCAAAGATATGCTGAACTGATAATGAAGGAGCAAGCTAAATGGTAAATTGAAGAAAACGATGGAGCCTGTGGTCCCAATTACTCCGGATCACTTGAGTCCAGGAATTGGGGTAACATAGCAAGACCTGGGCTCAAAAAAAAAACCAAACAAAACAAAAAAAGCTTAAGATTGCTATCCTAAAAAACCACAACCTTTCAGGAGTTATATTCTCCCAGTCAGAAATAATTTGTATCTCAATTAGTCAACAAGATGTAATTATAGAAGTCTAAACCCCGAAACCTTAACCAATGCAATGTTATGTGGCCCTTATGAACAAAGCTCCCTTTTGGTTTTGAAAGGACATGTAGCCATCCTTCGACTTTATTTTCAAAATTTTCATAGTGAGTGAGTGTGTGTGTGTGTGTGTGTGTGCATATACTTTTTTAAACCACAACTAAAAATGTTTCTACAAGTCGGTTAACTATTCCTCATCACCTTATCCCACCTTTTGTTTTTATAAATTCTAGGAAGGGTGGTGCTAGCTATAAATATCAGAGTATTCCTCCTGCACTTAATGAATCTGAAACCCCTTCAAGTGGGACTCTCCAGTAACTTAATATCCTTTGTTTCAACGTTACACGCACAAAGACTGGCTATCTGTAAGACTTTTAAGACTGTTGACTACCCAAGGGTGAGGCCGCGGAGTGCCCCCCCCCCCGCCACCCCGGAGTGCTGAAGACACTGATTGCAAGACTGGGGCCCAAGGGGTGCTGGGTCGCGCGCCCTGGTCACTCGCCCAAGCAGCAGCTCCAGCGCGGCAGCCCGCGCGGGCCCGTGGTTCTGGGGCGAGGGCCCCGCTTCCCCGGCCTTTTGTTCCGGACTCGGCTGCTTCCCGCCCACCCACTCCCGCCCTTCCTCTCGGTCCTAGGAGTGGGGTGAGGATGGTGCGGGAAGCAGAGCTGGGAGAAGGATGGCGGCGTTGGCTGTGGGAATACTCACCCCGCTCCGCTCGGCCCCTGACCCCGCAGCCCAGCCAGGCGGGCGGGGCGACGGGGCTGGGGGAGGGGAGGCGGGGACCGGCACCTAGCGCCCCGTGAGGACACCGCCGCGCGTGCGGCCCCAGGGAGGAGGGACATAGGAGGTGGGCCCAAAGGGGCCGTGAGGGCGGCGGCGACCCAGCGAAACCCCACTCGGCGAGGGAGGCCCACCAGAAGGGCGCGTCCCCTCCCGCGGCAGCCACCACCAACAACAAGCGAGTCCGAGCATGCGTACTGGGTTTTCCCGCGCGCCTAGGGAAGCGCCCCGCGCAGGCCCGTGACGTCGTCGGCCGCGCGCTCAGGGCCGACCAGGTCGGGGCTTGGACGCGGTGTGCTGGGGCTAGACCCCTTTGCTGCGGGCGTAGACTGGAACCAAGGCCCCGCCCCTCACTTCGTTCGCGTGCCCCCTCGCTCCCCAGCCAGGCTAACCTGAGTTTGACTGAGCCCTTGGTGGAGGACAAAGGCGGCTCGTGGCGGAGGAGGAGCTGAGGGCAGGGGGAAACTTGGGGGAAGGGGTACTAGCGGTTTCAAGGACTGCACGCTGTCCTCCAAGACATTTTCTAATATCGGGAATATAAAAGAATGATCAATGAAGAACAAGAGTAGAGCAACAGCAAGAATGTAGTGCCACTAGCATTCCCCTGAGAGGCTAGGAAGCCATGCCAGCGAACATTGCAAAAAGTAACCAGGAGCACCACCATTAAACGCATACACGTGTCCACCACTTGCTTAAGAATGGGGGAGAAGTTAGGAATTCGAGTATCCACAGTAGTACCATCTGTGGCACATATCTCAGGGGGAAAAAAAGAGTGTGTGTGCGTACACGTTGGAGGAAAATAGTAGGAATAGGGAAAAGACTACAGAATGACTAGGAATTATAGGGGTGAGATAATAAACATCTCAGGGAAAACACATCTGCTCCTGTAAAACAATAGAATTGTAAAACAAAGGTGTAAACGCAGGTAAAGAAGTAATGAAAAACCTACCTTCAAACTTTCAGGGAATGGAGCCTGTGAGGTGGGGAAGGCCTGTAAACCCAGCTATTTGGGAGGCTCAGACAGGAGGATGTCTAGTTCAAGGCCAGCCTGGGCAACTTAGACTGTGTCTCAGAATTAAAAGGCGCTGGAGTTGTAGCTCAGTGGTGATCCTCCTGACTTCAACCCTCAGCACCAGGGTGAGGGGTGGGGAGTGGGGTAATTTCAGGGCATGGTTTTGATCCGGTAGACAGTCATATAAGAGATCCCCATTGGAGTAAACTAGGTAATAAGTACCCAGTACTGTTAATCCATAACCATTTCAAAATAAAAGCTTGTTTTTTAAAAGAACCGTACTGATCAGTGGTAACCAGGAAGAAATTAACTGAAAATTGGCTTAAGGGAATTTGAAGGGATGATGGATCGGTTCTATATCTTGTTTCTACTGAGAATTAAATCACTGCTTTCTTGGTCAAACCCCACAAAAAGTATGATTTTTGTATGTAAGATTTTAAAATTAATCTTTTAAAAAATATTGCTAGCAGAAAATAAACTTCAACTAACATTTTAGCAACTACAAAATGATTGGTAAGTGCTAGTTTAAATTATACATTTGATCTTTTTAAGTACAAGACAGTGAATTTTTTGTTTATTTTGCAGTAGGATTCAACCCAGGGGTGTATGTTTATTTTGAGACAGGGTCTCACTAAATTGCCCAGGCTGGCCTTGAACTGCCATTCTCTAGACTCAACTTCCAGAGTTGTCCAGATTACAAGCACGCCAGTTTACAGGAGTATGTAAAAATAATAATTCATAATATCCTCTAGATAGTGTGATCCTACACTGGGATACAAGTTTAAAATTACATGGTCAGTGTCTTATTTTTCTCAGTCTCATCAGTCCCTCTCATTTATACTTTCTGTTCATATCTCATAGGCTACACAGAGATATAAAAAAGGTAGGAGGGGCTGGGGCTGTAGCTCAGTGATAAAGTGCTTGCCTTGCATATGTAAGGCACTGGGTTTGATTCTCAGCACCACATAAAAATAAATAAAGATACTGTGTATTAATCTACAAATATATATATATATATATATATGTAGATTATATGTATATATATATTATATGTATATATATAGATTATATGTGTGTGTGTATATATATATATATATATATATATATATATATATATGTAGGAAATGTAGCCATTTGCTCAGGTAAACCTTGACAGGGGGAGATTGTTTTATTTCTAAAAGAAAGGAGAATGGATACTGAGGGGGAAAATGCTATCTGGACTGCTGCTTGTAGTAGCAGATCTCTTCTACCACCTTCCAGGAGATCCTCAGGGAAATGTAAATTACATAAGAGTTACAGGAGGTAATCTGTTTGGATGGCAGAGATAAGAAACTTGCCTTCAAACTGTGTATGCATAATACTTACCCAAATATATGAGAGAAAAAAAGCAATAGTTGGCAAACCTATGGAGACAGTAAAAAGATCAGTGGTTACCAGCCAGAGTTTGCCAGGAAGGAAGCAAAGAGGGGAGAGATGAACATGTGGAACATAGGACATTTATTAGGGCAGTGAAACTACAATGTGTGATAATGTAATGGTAAATATATGACATTTTGCATCTATCAAAATCCATAGAACTGTCCAACACAAAGAATGAACCTTAATATAAATTATGCACTTTTGTTAATAATATTGTGTCAATATTGGCTCATCAATTCTAACAAAATGTACCAATATATTAATAAAAGGGAAAACTATGAGTGCAGTAGACAGGAATTCTCAATGCAATCTGCTGAATTTTCTTTAAGCCAATTTTTTCCTAAAACAAAAAAAAATTAAAACTCTATTAATTTAAGAAAATGATACTGCCAAAAAGAAAATATATACATATATCCACATCAAAGAAAGAAAGAATTGGAGAATTAAAAACAACCACAGAAAGATGATTCAGTCTTTCTATCACACTACTTCTACCCATGAACTTTACTACACATGAAGTATAAATATATTTGGGGAGTTTGCATTATTTTTATATTTTCATAATTTTTCTGCAGGGGCACTTAACCATTAAGCTATATCCCTAGTACCTTTGTTTTATTTTTGAGACAGGATCTTAACCATTAAGCTATATCCCTAGTACCTTTTTTTTATTTTTGAGACAGGATCTTGCTCAGTTGCTTAGGGCCTCACTAAATTGCCCAGGATGTCCTCAAAACTGCAACCCTCCTGCCTCAGCCTCTTGGGTTGCTAGGATTATAAGTGTCCACAACTGCACTGGCTAAATTGGGGGCATTTTATTTTACATAAATTATACCCCAAATTTTATTAAAATATAACTGGGTATGGTGGCACATGCCTATAATCCCAGCAACTCAGGAGGCTGAGGCAGGAGGGCCACCGATTCGAGGCCAATCTGGGCAATTTAGGGAGGCCATAAGCAATTTAGCAAGACCTGTCTCAAAAATTTAAAAAACCAAAAATAGGGCTAAGAATATATGTAGCACAGTGGTAATGTGCCCCATGAATACCAGAAAAAGAACAATGCCACCAAATCAAGTCTACAGTTTAATGAATTTTGGCTTGGGGAATGGTGTATGAGGTATACCTCTAAGCTACCTCCCTAGCCCTTTTTATTTTGAAACAGGGTCTCACTGAGTTGCTAGGGCCTTGCTAAAATTGTTGAGGCTGGCTTTGAATTTGCAGTCTTCCTGCCTTAGTCTCCTGAGTTGCTGGGATTACAGGCATGAGCTACTGTGACCTTCAATTTTGTGAATTTTAATGAAGATATCCACCTTTGTGCTATGATCTGATTGTTGTTGTTGTGCTGTGGTTGTTTTTTGTTTGTTAGTTTGTTTGTTTTTGTTTTTGATACTAGGGATTCAATCCAGGTGCTTAATCACTGAACTACCTCCTCAGCCCTTTTCATTTTGTGTTTTGAGACTGGATCTTGCCAAATTGCTTAGGGTTTCACTAAATTGCTGAGGCTTGCTTCAAATTTACAATCCTCCTGCCTCATCCTCCTAAATTGCTGGGATTACAGGTGTGCACCACCATGACTGATTGGTCTACATGTTTTTATTTCTCAAACATTCATATGCCAATTTCTTAACTCCCAAGGTGATGGTATGAGGAGGTGGAGCTTTTCAATGAACTCAGAACCAGATCCTTATAAGACATGAAATCTACTGGTAACCTGATCTTGAACTTTCCAACTTCCAGATCTGTGAGAAAAGGTTTTGTGTTATTTATAAGACACCCAGTTTATGGTGTTTTGTTATAGTAACACAAATGGACTGAGACATTATATAACCATATCCCAACCAAAATATAGAATATTCGCATCATCCAAAAGTGCTACCTCAAACTCTTTGCAGTTAATCCCTCCCCACACCTACAGACCCTTAACAACCACCCATTTACTTATAGTAGTCATTCTAGATTTGTTTTGCCAATACTAGAAAATGGTATCATGCAATATGTGTATGTCAGAATAATGTTCTTGAGATTAATTTGTGTTGTTGCATTTATTGCTGATTAATTCCTTTTATAACTGAGTAGTATTCCATTGCACAAATATACCACAATTTTCTTAAACATTCATCTGGGAAGGGTATTTAGGTTGCTTCCAGCTTTGGGCTATTATGAAGAAAGCTGTTATTAATAGTTATATACAAGTATTTTTGTGTACACATATTTTGATTTTTCTTGAGTAAACACCTAAGGGTAGATATACATTCTGTGATCAATATAGAAATAAAAGTTGTATTTTACTCTTCTATATTGATCACATTCCTTAGCTTGGAGCTTGTCTTATTTGATGATTCTAATTTAGAGATATTTTTGTTGCTGAATTTAGCTATCTTTATGAAACTGAACATGTTTAATAGTTACTGTCCCCCACACACAAGGGATTAAACCCAGGGGCTCTCTACCACTAAACTACATCCCCTGCCTATTTGTTTATTTATTTATAATGGAGATTGAACCCAGAGGTGCTCTACCACTGAGTCATATCCCCAGCCCTTTTTATTTTTTTCTCTAGAGACAGGGTCTTGCTAAGTTGCCTAGGGTTTCACTAAATTGCTGAGGCTGGGTTGGAACTTGTGATCCTCCTGTCTCAGGCTCCCAAATGGCTGGGATTGCAGGCATGTACCACTACACCCAGATTATAATTTGATTTTTAGTAGTAGGCATATGTTATGGTTTAGATGTGGTATCCCCTAAAAGCTCATGTGAAAGACAATGCAAGAAGGTTCAGAGGAGAAGTGATTAGATTGAGTCTTAACCCAATCAATGAATTAATCCCCTGATAGGGATTAAGTGAATGGTAACTGAAGTGGTAGGGCGGGGCTGGAGGAAGTGGTTCATTGGGGATGGGGCTTTGGGGTATATATTTTGTATCTGGGAGAGTGGAGTCTCTCTCTGTTGTCTGATCACCATATGAGCCACTTCCCTCTGCCACACTCTTGATGTTCTGCCTCACCTGGAGCCCAAAGAATGGAGGTGGCCTTCTATAGACTAAGAACTCTGAAACTGTAAGCCCTTAAATAAACTTTTCCTCCTTTACAGTGTTTCTGGTCTGGTCCTTTAGTCATAGCAGTGAGAAAAAGCTGACTAAAACAGCATATGTAATACAGTATGTAAAATTGAGAACTGAGATATGACACTTAAGGATTCAAATATGAATATTGAAATAGCAAAAGAGGGCAGTAAGGTTTTTTAAAAATTTTTTATTTGTTCTTTTTAACAGTAGAATGGATCTTGATATATCAAACATGCATGGAGCATAACTTCCCATTTTTGCCATTGTACATGATGTGGAGCAATTTATTCTATTCTCTTATATTCCCGTCCCCAACCCTTTTCTTCATTCCCCTGCCCTTTCCTCCTTCCCCTTTGTCTAATCCAGTGAACTTCTACAGTAAGTTTTTAATGACAGTCTATTATTTTATAATTATCTTTGTTTCCTTAAAAATACTTTAGAAATTTTCTGAAGTCTACCTAAGAATTAGTTGTAAAGACTTTGTTGTTAACCAGGTGTGGGGGCACACACCTGTAATTCAGCAGTTGGAGACACTGAGGCAGGAGGATTACAAGTTTCAGGCTAGCCTCAGCAACTCAGCAAGACTCTGTCTCAAAATAAAAAAAAAAAAAAATGAAAAGGACATGGGATATAGCTCAGTGGTAATGTCCCCCTGATTCAATCCCCAGTAACATTAAAAATAATAATAATATGATTTTGTTGG